CGGCTCGCAACAGTCATTGGCATTTAGTGAAATGAAGAGCGAAAGCAGCCTCCAATCTCCGTAGTTGATGTGACCTGAAGGGTCCTGTCTTGCTCTGAATCCCAAGCCCGATCTACAGTTTCACTAGGCCTTAACTCTCACCCCTCGGCTTACACTTCCGCTGGGGGTGGTCATGAAGTCGAGGTGAGGTCAAAATTGCAGCTAAATGCAGTTCTGAGAGGCAAGGCAGACTGAAATTCATTTGCAAAATCGAGCATTCTCATTTTTGCTTCTTTTTTGTCTCCCCAAACGACTGATGCCTTGTCTATTTCCACAATAAAGGTGAGCTAACACTTTCCATATCCATCCACCTTGTTCACCGTCTCCACCATTTTCCGAATGTCATACGTGCCATTCTTTCTCTTGATAATCAAGATAGCTATTGTGGATGTCTCACTATCTTGCTTGGATGAAAATATTTTATAAAAAGACCATCTAGTCTGAGATAGCACATGCCAACTTAATAGAAGTTGTTTTACCTTGTTTTCGCAACTTGGTCATTTTGGTGGGAAAACTTAGAGGAAAGCACCTAGTCCGGAGTCCATCATTTCCAGAGTAGGACTGTGGACGTGGTACATTCCCAGACATTTCGTCGGCACCGTAGTCGGCATCGTCAGTGAGTCTCGCCATTCTTAGCACCATATTACAACTCGTCAAAGAGACAAGTTGTCTGGGAATGTACCACGTCGATGGTCCTACTCTGGAAATGATGATGCATACAATGAACTCCGGACTAGGTGCGTTTAGTTAAGTTTTCCTAACAATATGACCGAGTTGCGAAAACAAGGTCAAACAACTTACATAGCTTTGCCTCACAAAAGTTATTCTCAATCAGGCTCCAGGTTGGATCTCTCATGCGTCTCATCAGCACTCCCAGCAAGACCCGAACTCGGTTTAACCACTACGCCATACTGCCGCGAGTAGCTTTGAGTCATAGGGTAGATGTGAATTTCAAGGAAGTCTACGACTTTCCCATATCACAATTTTGTGGTGGGATTATCGACGAAGCAAAGTTGTGTTTGCTGTAGCAATTGACTATGTTACCTATTTTTCATTAGATGTATATATGTGCGTCCACACGAATAGATTCGATAGCTTCATTTATTCGATCTTGATTAGAAACTGTTTAACCACAAATGGGGCAATTTGTTGCTCTGTACAGTTGCCACTACAGTTAATTTATACGCCAGAATGCTAAATAGCCTTAGTGATTGTGATCAGGAACTGGTTTTCGGGGAATTTGTAGATATATCAGAATTGGCATTAATTAGTTTCAATTGAAAGATTGTAATGAAGATATTTGAGCTTCAATCTCACCTCAATGCAAAGATTGTCTCACATAATTCTGCAATGTATAGTTGTAGTTAGATGTTCAGATTGATGCAGTCCTTCCTCGGCTTCAGTGAAAACACGCTAATCGCTGATATTTCATTAAACTTGACAAATATCTTCAGAGGGTGGACTCTGATAATATTCTTATATAAATTTCGGTCCCGCAGCAAAGTGAGGAAACTATTAGAAGTGGGTTGACCTCGTTGTCGCAATTTGGTCTTGTTGTCAGGGCGACTTAGTAGAATGCACCTAGTCCGAACTCGTCTACCATAGTAGTTGTCATGATTCCCAGCATCAGACAGTGGACCTGGTACATTCTTAGACTTTTCACCGGCATCGTAGTCGGCATCATGAGTGAGTTTTCCCATTTTTCGCACCAAGCTACGAACTCGTCAAAGAGACAAGTGAAGTCAATCCCTCGATAAACGTTCTGCCGAAAACGGTTACACTATCACTCCTCTTTCTGTCCTGGCAAAACGTTTGAGAATGCACCAGGTCCACTGTCTGATGCTGGGAATCATGACAACTACTGTGGCAGACGGCTTCGAAATAGGTGAGTTCTACTAAGTCGCCCTGACAACAAGACCAAGTTGCGACAATGAGGTCAACCCACATCTATAAATTGAAAGGAGACTGCGACTATAACGGAGGCCACACCATCTTGGTCCTCATATCTCTGCGGAAACTATTTTTGAGGAGACGTTCATTTCGTATGAAAGCGTCTAATGAAGAGATGAGTTGGTTGATCTCACTGAGGCATTACGGCCGATTCCCGTTGTTCTTCAGCCATTAATAGACATGCATCCATCTATCTGTATATATATATATATATATATATGTCTATATATTTTTGGTTTGACTATATATGAGAGTATATACATATTTGAGACTTATATAAAGATGAGTTTTAGCTCATATGACCATCATATGAGCTTAGCCGAGTTTCAATCGAAACGGAGCACTTTAAAAAATTGTAACAGTGAAGGTGTGATAGGAAGATATAGGAAATGTGAATAGCCCAGGGCAGAAAAGGAGATACCACAACTGTTTAGCACACGTTCGGTCAAAGGATGGGCTTCGCTTGCCTCTTTGACGAGTTGTTGTGAGGTGCTAAGAATGGCGATACTCACTGACGATGCCGACGAAATGTCTGAAAATGTACCACGTCCACGGTCCGACTTTAGAAATGATCATGCATACAATCGACTCCGGACTAGGTGCCTTCCTCTAAGTCTTCCTACCAATATGGCCAAGTTGCGAAAACAGGGTCAAACAACCTCTAAGAGAAGATTTTGTTATTTTTTGCGCTATCAGTCTGGAGATGAAAGTAGTTCAAGATTCTTCGGTTTGAGTTTGTCAAAACAAAACATTAGTGAGCTATTGTAATCAACAAATTGAGAACCCTTTTGAGTATTTGCTAGTGGGTAGGATATTGATAGAATGAAGGATAGAGATTGGTTTTATCCGCCACCATATAAATGTATATTCAACTAATGTGTGCTCGATTTTTGTTATAATTTACATCCCACTTCCTGTGCTTATGCTCAGAAAGCCAGCTCAACAAAGCCGGACAGGCGTCCGACATTTGGTACTTCTGCGTCTGAGCCTGTTTGGATCAAAAAGAAATAGCAATTAAATCTTCCTAATATTGGGACGGATATTTCCTCTCTTTTCTGATTTCTCGGAGTTATCATGTTAACTTTCCTTATCCTCACATGCATGCACAGGAACGGGCAAACCAATGTACATTTACATAAATAGATATCGCGAGTAAATGGCCCAAAGTGCAAGTCATCACTAACTATACTTTATTTACACGATCGTAGGCTGTGTGTGCCTGAAAATGAGGTTTTCGAGTAGATAAATTAATATGTCGTCTTCCTGCAACTTTACCACTTTTTGCAAGCATTAATTATCGCCTTTTTACATCTCTGTTATGCATAAAACTCCGGTTATGGTAGGTGACATGCTTTCATGTGTGTGATACGCATCATCGGTCTCATTTTTAGCAGTAATTACGGCAGCATATGGCATTTCGCTGCAGTGCCCGCTAAACTCGATTTTATGGGTATAGGTTTGCCCTTTTGCGAACGACAACCTTTAAGTATTCTCTGACTGACTGACTCCGAAAAACTGTCATACATTTTTATCCCAACGAAGCTTTATCACTTACCTCGCGACTGGTCAGCCTACTCATTATAGGCAGGTCGTTTTATGGGTGATGGTGCCGATTTCTCTTTTTCCCTATATGCACTATTTCTACTGCGCTAGATCTCCATATTTACTTATGCATTATAATCTAAAGTAAACTAGTTTGTGGGAAAAGTGATTTTTATCCAGATTTCTTGGACATACATCTGTAAAATGCTCTGTTATTGCCGACTTTATATTTCGTTGATAAGTAGTCTAGCTATATTAAGCCCTCATCTATCTTTCATCCTCATCATCTTTCCATGCTACAGCTGGCGTCTTTCTTGCGTCCAGCTATATGCACTGGTACATCTCGACAAATCACGATCAGAGCACTTTCAATAAGTATATCTTAATCCTGTTGTAAGTCTAGATCGTACCATTATCTTTTTGCATGTCGGTCATTGAGCATGAGCCTCGAAGACGGCCTGCTCGAGGGGTTCTAATGAGGTCTCAACTAAAAGCTGTTGAACCAACCAAGCGGGGTCGAGCTCAGGCGGGCTGAATATCAGCGGTACTAGCTGTGTCCCGGATGGTCATTCTTGGGACACTGGATCCTGACAAGTAATCACACTTTTGAATAGAATATTTTTTATTTTATTTTTAGAATTAGAATCATTGTGTTGTCTTTTAATTTGTTGCTAGTTAATGACAAATTTCATTCTAATAATCTATCGGCAAGCGTGTAACCACTTCTTTTTTGATTTTCTAAGAAAGCTGTTGTATTTTTCTTTTCAGAAATTCACCATTATTCGTTTACTTCAGCCTATGGACTGGAAAACCTATGAAGACTGGGGAAATGCTGGCTTCAGTCGGGGCTCTAGTCCATTTGCCTAAAAACTTGCATCGGTCGCGAAATCGGATCATTCTATTTTTTTATCGCATCCCATAACATATTTTTTTCTAATCATCTATCTTAATTTTGTTTACTTATTACTCTTATTCTGGAGACCGTTTATTCTCAGTTCTCATACGCACATGTGCACACAAACATATATATATATATATATTATACACACACACACACACACACAAAGTCACATTAGCTCACTTTCACGAAGTGTATCTGATCTTCCACCTTCCTTGCTTCTCGAGACATTTCCACATTTTTGTTCAACTTGTGGGTAGGTAGGACTCGTTCTATTGTCTTTTTTGCACTGTCGTGTATCTGTTCTTAGAGCCTCTGAAATTATTTCCAGAATCTAGTCAATTTAAGGCTTCCATGTGAGGATGTCTTTACATCATTGCTGCATATCCTTGATGGTGCTTTTGACGGTGTGCGGTATTTTGATTGTGTATAATGGTTCGTTTGACAGTGTTTTTTGCACAGACCGCTTATTGTTAGTCAATTCCCTTCTTAGGCGATCATTTCTAGATTTTGTTTAATCTCGCATTCGAGAATCGGACTCCTTTTGTGTGTGTGTATATATATATATATATTTGTGTGTGTTTGTGTGCGTGCATGTGAGAGTGTGTGAATGTTTCTTTAATTATCTACCCATTCCTATTGTATCGGTTGTTCCTTTTGGCAGCTGGTGCCACTTTCCACATCCGCACTAAGTGATTCCTGAAGAGCACAGTCGACATGTCTAGTTTAAATAGACATTTTGGATCTTCAGAATTCGATGGCTTATTGTATTCTCTACGATCTCAACGTGATAAGTATTTTTCACACGTTGCTCTCTCTCATCCTTTCTACTATTATTGCCCACACTTTGGCCCTTCATTCATCAACGTGGCCACCTTAATAGGTCAGGATTTTGCGGTCGTGAAAATAATATTTTCTATTTTTTTCTATATTTTTATCTGGGTTTCTTCTTTCATCCTTCATCTTTCACCTCCATTCATTGACATTTGAAAACGCTTCAATACCTCGCCTGCGCTGTAGACTACAGCCTCCTTCGTCTGACTCAGCAACTACCTCTGTGTCCAGAGTCTCACCGTCATTGCTCCTTCTCGACTCTAGCATATCCACTTCCACGCTCTTGTCTTGGAACATATCTGAGTTGAGAACAGATTCCGAGAGTTTTGTGTCCAGCGCAAGCAAACACTGCACCAATTGCTTGACTTTATGATGCTGGTCTGAAAAGAAAAAATGTTTTATTTACATAGTTTGAATTAAACTTCAAGTTGGTCAAGACCTTAATTTACTTCTTATTCTGCGTCTCCATTCAAAATATCTTTTTATGGTCCCTAATCAGATGCGTCTTTGTACAAACCCAGCAAGCCATAGGTCACACGCAGCCTACTTTCTCTTTATGATTTAACAGCTTTTTATGCTTTTCGTTGTCATGTGCGCCGCTTATTAAGTCGCTCAAAGTTAATTATGTAAGTGTTTTCATGATTATTGTCTTTCGATAATCCCACTAAGGCTATTCGTCTTGAGATAAGCCTACTTTATTCACCCCAACGTGATTGCATTTATTCTATAGTTTCTTTGATTTTAATCTGCGCTCAAGCATTAAATGTCTTGTATTTGGTTGTCAAAATACTGTACAATTCATAATCATACAGTCCCTTATGTTACCATGCTCATACTACTTAGACTGTAAGCAAGTCTGCATATGTTTGACTTTCATGCTTGCAAATAAACAAGGAACCAGCCTCTGGAATAAGTGGGGTCCTTGTTGAGTTATCCTCTTTTCAAAGTTGCTTATGTTTCATACCTGGAGACTGCATTTGATCACTTGAATTGGATCTTCCTCTGTGGTCAAAAACGTCTGAATTAGCTGCATTCTCACTTTTTTATCCAACTCGATTTTTCTTCTCAACGAGCTCTTGCCTTTTAAATGTGCTTTGCAACTTTTTTGTTTTGCAGCCTTTCATTTGTACACAGCAATACACTCCTGTAAAACTAGGGCACTGAATCATCTCGCTTTTTTGGGTAAAGCAATTCGAATTTGACTTGATCGCTGCAGTTCTTCTTTTACAAACATATCAATAAACATGCTTCTACATTCGGACTGTTTACACTAGGCCTGGATTAAAATTTGCTACGAAGAGAAACTTAGTTCAGATGAATCTCCTGAGATAACATTGTTAGGGGTACCTTCATTTCGAATGAAAGTACATGAAGAAGAGATTC